GTTGTGTTTGACTGTTGCATGTTGTGGCAACCTTAAAATTGAGTCAACACTTTGGCACTCCATTTGAATTGTACAATCAAGTTGTGTATAATATCATCTGCTTAAAGGTAAAAACCATGTAAATGACATTTTCCACAAAAAATCTCCAAATTATGTACCTATTGTTAGAAAATCACCATATTTCTGCAGATTAAACTCTTATTGACTTTATAGCTTTTTTATTATTGAGTTTCACGTGCAGAAAGATAGTGATATTCTTACCATAGCTATAAAAATTAAAGGATTTTAGTTTAAAATGCCAATTAAATAGACGACATATATGACTTGTTAGTTGTCCTAAATAAATAAAAAAATTGCGTCACATAAAGTAATGGTTGGCGTGGCGTTACCGTAGCCTGCTGACGTTCAAGTTGTAGCTGCATTTGCAACTGCTGCAACTGGCTGGGCGTGCCGGGCTGGCCCGCGCCGCGCCGCACGCCCGACAGCTGCGACAGCAGCTCCGCGATCGGGTCCACGACCGCGTCGCGCGACGACGGCGACAGCGACGATATGCCCCCGCCCGTGCTACATATACGCCCACATACATGTTATTAAATTTATAACTAATAAACTCCATTCCAAACAGGATGCTAATCAGAGACTAATTCTTTCCAATAAGTTAATCGAACAAAATCATCAAAGAGCAGTTACTCAAATTGTCATATCAATGATCATATCACTAAGCGAAGCAATCGATTTCAATAGCAAAGCAATCGACATCAAAACACACGTACATCTCTATTTTACTTCATTTGTTGCTATTGAACATTAACCAGATTTTTTATTATAATCCTGTGTGGAATAGATTGTAAAACAAATAAATAATACAACACCTAACTAACACGACTGCAACTAGAAATTTTGAAACGCAACAAAATTTTAAATTTCTCTTGTTACCTTTAATTTTAGAAAGCCAGAACCAATTTGTATAGTGACAGTTTTTATGTATCAGCTCTAGTTTCTCAGACATGTTGTTTCTATGTGGCTGCAGTCCGCGAGTAGTTTCTCGTGAGAATTTGATAAGTTTTATTAAGACACTCGCCATGGCTACGACGCGATGTCATGTTGTCAAACTGATTTCGTTACAGCAACTTCGGGTATTATACAAAACGATATTATTCAAATAAAAAATTAGAGCGGACACATAAATACTTAAACTTAAATACGAATAAACATTAAAGAAAGTATTTCCTCCTTACATTTCAGGGAAAAATATGTGTGCAGACCTGTAGGTATCATAAATTGACCAACAATGTCAATGGATGAGACAATGTGTAGGCAAAATACATAAGCAAAGGTAGTCAAATACAGTTCTATAGTAATATATATTGCATTTCCATTGTGGGGAAGTTAGAGGCATCAAATTAGTTAAAACAGGAAGTAAGTTTCGCCTCGGCCTCCGTGTGGGGAACAATATTATTTAGTGGGTGCGATGCTAATGCGCGTTTTACCTGAACAATTTTGCTGTAGAAATATATATTTTTTTACAGATGCTCTCGTCGAAAAGGAAATAAATACCCGTATACATTAATTTGCCAAAAACATTCGTGTGAAGCAAGTTGAGTAACTTCAGAAGGGCTTAAGTCGCTCATTTCAAAAAGGTATACAAATCCCTTTAAATACCATAAACATACTCAGTTCTGGAAATTTGTATTGTCCTTTTTCAAAACAATGTACTGATATGCACATGGTACTGACCATAACCAGCCTCTACAGTCCGTGTAGAGGACTATTAGATAATATTTGTAAGTAGTAAATAAACAAATTGCTGCCGCTGCAATTGAATCCACGGCCATATTCACGCTCGACAAACCGACGAATGAACACAGCCATCGTGTGGATGACGCCACGACAATGGCGGCCACTACGTGCCATCGAGATGGCCATCGTGTAAAGGGGACATTAAATTAAATAAAAATTAAAACGCCATAAATCTTAATGGACAATCAAACAACAGAATGGCCTTTATTCCGTTTAGGTTATTATTACTTTGTTTAGCATGTAAAACGCGCTACAGCATCTGCACCACTGTCAGTCAGTATACTATTAATGTTAGACAGCAATGAGACTTTCGTCGCTCGATCACCTGTCGATTCCTAAGTTCTGTCATTCAACTTCTCTGACGATTTTGTGACATTATGAACAATTTAAAAAATGTTAACATAGGTTTATTAGCTGTAAATCTATTGGGCTCACAACCAGATTTCTAGCAGGACTGAAATGTGTAGTGGAATCCACCTAAACGTGGTTTGTACTAAAAATAATGTACTTCATCACACAAGAAACAAGGCCATCCCCCCGATCGAAGGTCAACCCATTATGCCATTATGGCAAATTTTTGAGCAAAAAGCCTGTGCTTGTAGTATTGTAACGTCGTTCATTTAATATACATACATATTTATGGTTTTCTTTGCATAATTAATATTTCAGTTTGCCCGGCGACGGGGACAGAACTTAGCAAACAACGAGTTAGGCATCATGAGTCAGTAAAAAAGCGTCTACTAGCAATTTCATGGACAGTAACAGCTTAATATTAAAATATGATAGCGCGGGGTACCCCGCTTCGTTACATGGATCACAAAAAAAATGTCCAAGTGCTTTCTGTGTACTTGCTCCTTACTGTTTTTTCATAGAGAAGCATTAACAACAACGTACTGACAACAATTGATGATTTACATACATTAGACATTTTATATTGAATTAATACTGGGGAAGAACAGAATTTACTTTTTTGTGTGCGTTATTATTTAAGTACTGTCCACGAAAGAGTTATTATATCATAAGCGGTCGATTTCTTCCCTGCGCTCAATGGCGTGCGGAAAAAAACCGGACCGTTTTCAGGGACGTTTTGGCATTAGCCGGTAGCGGTCAATGCGAAAACGGGGCTCTGATATTTATACTTTTGGCTTTAAGCCGAGCCGGTGCAGGCTGGATTGGAATCGCTCGGTACGCGCTTGACATGAAGTGGTAATATACCTGAACTGCATATTGGTGCGCCGCGCGCGACTGACGCCGCGGTTGCTGTGCGGCATGCGACGAACGCCACCGTGCCGGATGCCACTCGGCTCATCGTTCACAGGGGTTAAGGAATTTTATAAACACAAATAATTGCTACATATGTGTCGTTGGTTGTAAAAGTGAATTAAGTCCTTGTAATTAGATTTTGAAATAATGAGCTTTTAGCAAATTAATTTGCAGTAATTAGTATAGTAAACCTTTAAGCAATAGAATATGTGCAATAAAATATTTACTTACAGCACTTTTGTGATGATCGTACATATGTATTTCTGGTTTATAACTAGTATCTAAGGAATATAAAGTAAAGCACGTACCTATGTATATCTAGTTAAATACAGCAATGCAACAAAGCAGCACAAATGTGTGAATTTTAAGTTCTAAGCGCAATGCTGGTAATACAATTAACGTAATACGTAAGGTGTTCATGCACGTTTATGGATATGTGATAAAAGTTTAACTAAACTGCATGAAACGATTAAACAAGAACATTAAAATAAATCTGTCGAGACGACAGATTTAGGCTTTCGTGATGCTGTTAACTATATCAACAATTTCTTTGCAAATGTGAGAGGAACCTGGCCAAAAGCCGCACACATCGCCTCTGATATAGATACAGCTAAAACCGGTAACAGTCCTCATTCATCCATAGCTTGCATTTGGGTGGTGATTGACTTTACCCTTATTGACTAGGGCTTACATGATTCGTTATTATTACTGTTAGTGTAGGTTGTATAATATAAATTAATTAATTCAATGGTATTTTGCCTACAGACGAAACCGAAGTTGGGAATTGAGTCTGTCGTTGAAAAGCGATGCAGTAGGATGGGATAACATTAGTACAAAAACTTTTGAAGTATATTAAAGGTATTATTGTGCCAACATTGACGTACAAATGAAATTTGGCAATTCAAAATGTCCCGCAAGCTTTTAAGAGGGTACTGATAATACCCGACAACTAATAGACCTTACCAATCTTACCATCAATGTCCAAAATTCTAGCGAAAAACAAGAATTCTAGGCTAATAAGGCTTCTAGAAACAAGAAACAATCTTGTCCTCATCACAATGCTTTCGTGTCTCAGGAATTAAGTAATTAAATCTCTCGACTGAGGGACCAAAATGGCAGTATTCTTGGATTTGGCAAAGGATTGCGACACGGCCAATATCTCACTTTTGATAAGGAAATTGGAACGAGTTGGTGTCAGAGGCATGCAGTGTAAACTATTCGATAACTTTTTGAGCAATAGAATGCAATGTGTTAGAAAAGGAGACCATATCAGCGACGATCTTTCCGTCACGCACGGCACACATGGTAGTATTTTAGGACCTATCCTTTTCCTAGTTTACGTAAACAAACTATGCAAATTGGAATTACCCAGCGGGTGAATAATTTTCTTTTGTTCTATACGATACTGCTCCGTTTAGTGCTAAAAGCTCTGAGACACACATTCACGCACGCACACACGCACAAGCGTTTGATTCGACTTATTAAGTTTTAGTAATTTATAAAAGCTTGCTAAACAATCAGTGTGTTTAAGTACAGGATAGTGAAGGCCTGTTGACCCATAACACAGCGCACAGGTTTTACCTAGCTTGGTCAACCAATCTCTCATTGTAGCATTATTTATATCTATATTTATATAAACTATTTTATTAACATTGTAATATTTGTAAGCTTTGGGAGAAAATAAAGTTATTTTCCATTCTAATTGGGACCTACCTTGAAGCCGGTAGTACCCATAGCAAATAGGCGTAAGAACCATCACAAATAAAAAATCAAACAAAAAATACGCAAAAAAAGAGAGATAAGATGGTACTACAATGATAGTTATAGGAGAGAGACGTGAGTATTATCACTGCACTTGGCAGTACTTACTGATATTTTATATATTTACTAGTAAGGTGATAGACGAAGCTCTCGTCATAATCATGGCTTGTTACCTATATTAGGATATGCATCGAACGTTCTTTGATAATACTGAAAAAAAAATCGCGTTAATATGACAGCACGGAACCGATATTAAAATTCGTACCACTTTTTTCCGGCGGAAAATCCGTCATGGACACCGCCACGATTAAGCTTATTTAACGTCTTATTTAAGTCACATCTACTAAACTAATTAAATAAAGTGTAAGATGTAGATGCTGGAAATTTGAAACGGACGAGCTAAGGCGCCTTAACAGTCATAGTTACAGGAAAATGGTCCTAATGTCCATGAATTTTGAAGATATTTCGATTGCATTCACAGATTCTGAAGAAACTGTACAGTCGGTAAGATAAAAGGCAATTTTCACGAATTTTTTTTTCATACCATGCGATCCTGTTTCGGGTAAGAAACAATTTTCTATGGTATCAACTGAGGTTTTTTTTTACAATATCAAGTGACGAGACGAACAAATCGTGCGCCTGGTGGTAAGCGACACGCCTGTCCATACCAGTTGCAGTTCCACTCAGAGCTTTAAATTGCAAAGATCTGAGGGGCATTGCCACTGCGCCCGATACCCTGAGACATAAGTTGACAATGCAGTAATGCTTACATTACTGTTTGGCGGCAGAAATAGTTAAGGTGGCACGTACTACCCTGGACGAACTCTTTCACAAGGAGCTCTACAGCTACTGAATAAGAGGTAAGAGTAATACAATGGCAGCAATAGCAAAATTTCCAGTCTGTATAGCTTCTGTTGATGGGTAATTTCAAAGCATAAATAAGTTTCGCAATACTTAGTCCTATTTATGCCCAAAATAGTTAAAAGTAATTAAAACAATATTAAAAAAGGTAACGAAACGAAGCTTCTTATTGCTTGCAAGCAATAAGCAACAAATTTGCTTGTTGCTTGCGAAATCCACATCAGTCAATTTTACAGTCACGTACAATAATGTAAATACGTAGCACAATTAAAATTAGAGTTTTTAAGATCGCATTAAAACCATACATTATTTTGCACAAATAATGATCCATAAGAATATGTTTAATTTTCTTTTGACATTTCCCGCGATATTGAATTTTTATTTCGCTGCAATATTATTCATGACTATACAATACATAAATAAATTTACTAAAACTCCAGTTTCAAGTTTTTGTTGTACTATCTGATAATTTTTAGGTCTGTATTTGGAGGTAAAGTTGTAAGTTCAAATTAATGTGCACGCGTCCTCTCTGTCGAGCCTAAGCCCCCGCTCCTGCGTTTTGCATCGTACAACACAGCATTACGACTGTTTAGAGCGATTTATTTAAATATTTTTATCTTTGTACGAAAGTAAAATCTGATTAAGTTTTGATTAAGCGATTATATCATGATTAAGTCATGAAACAAAAGTTGTTGTTTACGATGTTAGTAATAACGAAGTTAATAGAATTTTACAAATAACCCTGTATATATCTTGACCTTCAAACCAAACATCATCATCAAACCTTACAAGCTGTGCCAGCGATTTGCAAACACATATCACCTACCTATCCTACATCCTAAATAGGTGACTAAATAACACGCTGTAAAGGATACAGTTAAATATAGCCTTACAATTTTCAATTTTGTTTTTTTTATCTATCGAGTTCTTATTTTTTTACCATAAAAAACGTTATTGTAGCTTAAATATAAAAACTAGGTACATCGTGTCATGATTTTTTTGTAAACCTAGACTAATATCGCTTTTACAAACCATATAGTTACGTGCCGAGTGCTAAAAGGGTTGAGGAGATTAAAATATTTTTGAATAACTTGGATTACATCAACGAAAAACGTTGTTTGTCACAATTTTTTTTTCATTGTGCCGTTCAACCCTTGCAAATCTATGAACAGCAGCGTAAGTACCTACACGAGGGGCGGTATCGCACGTACTTCAAAGGGGTTGCGCTACTTTATGGAAGATGTTATAATACTATGCTATTATCGTTTCTGGTATACTACTTTCACGTACGAACCATTGCCTTTTGTGAAGTGCGTGCGCTGACGGTCCAACCGTCACCGCGCTTCGTTACGCCTTGTGCACGCGTCAGGTTCAACACGCGCGAGCCGCACTCCTAAATTGCCATTTTTATATTTGTCTACCGATTTAAGGCCTGTATTACAACGCGAGCCTTGATTTTAGAAGATGCGGTGTGGAGGGAGGAGGGTTTCGTTTTATAATAAGAACAGGCAGAGAACCATTTGCCACGGATCCGACGTCGAAGAGTGACAGCGGGGGGCGCGGGGTGTCGGTAAACCGCTGGGCAATTTGCAGATGTTAGGTTAAATGTGAATTTAATAACTAATAGGGCTTCAGTTTGAAACCAAAATTTAGCAGGTTTTTTGTGGTACATAACTCCATATAAAAATTATGTACAAAGTTAGATTTTTATTCCTATATAATTCGTATTATAATATGATCGGATTAGGTTCATCTTATCGTGTAACACATTAGCACATTCTTTAGACAATTTCGTTAGGTATCAGTGGCGAGGAGTGAAACTGGTTTTTAGTAAAGCCGGAGCAAAATAAAACACACTTGCCTTAACAAATGGCGCCTTGGCGACAATTTAACACAGCACTTATTAGAACACGAGATAGTAATACACTTTATTTCACTGGTTAATTATTATTCCACGCGTAAAAGTGAGCACATCGAGCTATGTGAATGCCTCGCCACTGTTAGGTGTATCATATATTTCTTGCAAAAACGTTATTTAATAGTAAATACGTAAACTATTTGATCTAGCACAACAGTTTTCCTCGCCTTAAATGAAGTGAACGTTTAATACGTTAGCTGTAGCTTATTTCAATATTAGAAACTAGCGTCGACATATGCACACATAATCAGAAAGACATAAATTCCAAAGTTCGAAGGTTCGAAGACAGTTTGACGACTTGTTCGTCCCGTCACTTGATATTATAAAAGAAAGGTACAACAGATTTAAAATTTTAAAATATTAGAAGTAATAACTCAGCTTTACGATTTAATTTTATGTATAGATTACTACGAAGGCAGTGGTGTTACGAAAAAGCATAGAATTATTTTAGGAAATTGTTGAAACATAATCACAAAAAAATTGTCTCACCACTGCATTTATGCGCATAACATGATATAAAGAAATCTTGCATTTTAAATGGAATGTGTCATGGAGTTATTTTAAATTAATTCGGTTCAAAAAAGACTTCGCTCGACACTGGTCTAACGTAGAGTCAATTTTTGGTCGTATTTACACAGGGGTGGTATATAACATAACCGAATACTTTGCTGTCTGCTACCAGGAAATTATTTTTTATTATTTTTGATGTCTTAAAAATTTTACACCACTTTAAATAAATTAGCATTAATACATTTATTTCACTTGTCGCCAAAACACCAGTTGCTGTGTCACTATCCTACGACGTTATATACGCAGTAAAAATAAATATCGCTTTGTATCATTTTTATAAAAATCATCTAAATTAACGAGCTCCAGTCTGTTTTGTGTTTGGTGTCAAACTGTAGAAATACAAGACTAAAGTTCTTTGTACTCTATTTTTTATACTACTATTTAATGACTCAACTCTTTATTATTTAATATGAAATCTCAAAACTAACATAGCGTGCAAACTATTCATAAAAGTTCATATTACAATTTTCACAACTTTTAATCTTTAAAAAAGAGCGACTTTGAAACTGCGCGCCAATGAGGGTTGGTAACGCGCAGACGCGAATCACGCACACCATTTTAATGTAAATAATTTTTATATCCCCTCAATCTTTACAAACTTTATGACTCCAAAAGAATAGCATAATATTTATACCTTCAGGTATAAAACCAAATATTATAATAACGAGCTAGTAAACAGATCAGAAGAAGAAATTAAATAGAAACAATCATTTTCAATTTTAGAATAATGAATGGTATATAAAGAGGGACAACATTATTATGTCAATTACTTTACTCTTTTTATTTTCTTTATTTGCAAATTATAAATATTTATATCAGTAAATACAGCGCTTTGGAGGTTAATTTAAAGCCATCTGAGGCCCTCGTGTAAATTTATAATCATTCAAATTTAACTACGACGTTTGCGTTAAGATTTTTATTTAGATCTTAATAATATGTATATAAGGTATAAATTAAAATCTTAACACTAATGCGATAATTAAATTTACATACTTCAAAACTCATAATAACACCCCAGACCTAATTTTGATAGCTGTCGAGACGACGAATTATTGAAGCAATCAAGAAAATTACAGAAATTGATTGTGTGTGTGTGTGTGTGTTAGTAACCTTTATAAAATAAAGAGCACACAAAAGCACTATGTTATAAACTGGTGGATCTTTAAGAAATACGTAGCAAATAAAACTTGATAAAAAATGTTCCATAACTGTAAATCACACAATATACACACAATAAAGTTCTTTTATTAATTTCCTATACTCTGAGATGAAATCGAAGGCCAAAAATGTGAACAAAGCTGACATCATTAAAAAAAAATGTTTTTAAATAGTGGGAACGTGAAAAGGTTTAAAAAATAAAGCAAGATGTTTTATATTGTTCTTAAACTGTGTGCATGTACAAACAAAATATTATCCAATCATCATTTTTATTTAAAACATCCTATTTAATAAGATACGCTCAAAAAACTCATTCCAGTGGAAAGAATGTTTAACGTGTTAGCAAAGATTCAGGGGTGCACAACCCTTTGGCTGCCTTTTTTATTTATTCGATATACAAACACAAATATTTTAAGCAGAAGTGTTATTCACAATAATTTATTCCAATAATACTATTGCTTTATATTTTACTAAAAATAATATTTTTATGAAGAATAATCAAATAAAAATAATAAATTGATTCAATATTAAATAGTGTTAATTGTAAGTAATAATAAAAGTAAATAGTCAGTTTTTGATCAATAGGGAAGGATAACGTCGGGTCGGCGGTTTGTTTGCCCACCAGGTAGAGCTGCATCGAAGCAATTTTGTTTATTCGGTTTCTGACGCTTGTCGTTATCGAATGTGCTCCTTGTTTTTAATCGACTTACACAAACAAAAAAAGGAGGAGGTTCTCAATTCGACTGTATGTTCTTTTTGGATGTATGTTACGCTATAACTCCGGTATTTGTGAACCGATTTTCATGATTCTTTTTTGTTGGAAAGAGGGTAGAGTAGTGGTCCTATTTAATTTTGAAAAAAATCATCCACCTTTAAAGGTGGATGTTCACGCATCAAGATTCATTTTTATAAATACCACCTAAATTTTATTATAAGGAACAATTATTTTAATGGTTGATTTTGCTATTCTCAAATTCAAGGCGTTTTTCTCTCAATATACTTTGACTAGTGAGAACCGATTTTTATTATCTCCTGTGTCAAGTCCCGTTTAGTGGCGAACTAGGGGATGAATCCGGGTACTTTCGCGCACTTTCCGGTAACCGATTTCAATAAAACTTGGTAATTATATGTAATTCCACGTACTTTTGAGGTCGGTTTTTTTAGTACTCTGTACTGAGATTAAATAAGCGTCGTGTTGTTACATGCTTTATACATCTTTATAATAGTTTAATAACTGCCTCCGTGGCCGAATGGTTACCATGCCGAACTACCACGCAGAGGTCCTGGGTTCGATTCCCAGGCCGGGAGAAATACGTGTATGGCCTACATTTATTTCTCTCGTGAGTTTTGGGTATAATTAGCAGGAACACACTCATTAGGAACACACTAGGGAACTAGTACGGGGCTATGAGTGTGTTGCGTTATTATTATGTTATATAGTTTTTTTAACAGTAGCTAAGAAAAACTGATTGCGTTTTTATTTATATTTATGAAAATACATTACATTTCACCCTATTTTGCTTAAGCGAAAAACTTAAGTCAATAACATGTTATTGACTTAAGTTTTTGTAAGTTAGAGTAGAGTTCTTTGTGGTAATGTTCTTTTAAGTTAGAGTAAGAAAACAAAACTACGTAGATAAATAAATAAGTAGCGCACACACTCACAGCCCCAAAATAGGAAAACCCTCTCATCGCCATCGCAAGTGCCATGGACACACAAATAGAACACCGAAAACTCTCGTGAGTTTGGGTAACTCACGAGATAAATAAATGTAGGTCATGGAAATATTTCTCCCGGTCTGGGATCTCTGCATAGCAGACCAGCAAGGCAACCGTTCGGTCACGGAGGCAGTATAGAATTTGTCTTCCTGAAAAAAAATTCTGTGATATATTTCTTTTGCGCCATGTATGGGGTAATTTTCTTTAGACCATGACCCTTCTCATATCGTCATAATTTCTCAATTGAAAATATTTCATAACACAAAGTTCTATAAGATGTTAACTTAAAAGGGTATTTTTTCCATGATAATTATTACTCGCAATATGAAGAGTACAACCAGAAAAAAGTTTATGATCCATGAGATGTCACTTTGACAGTGACAGTTGTTTGTTTACATTTTTGGACTTAGATTTTACTTCATAGTATAGTTGTAGTATAGTCTATATGTGATGTATATTACTGCAAAAGCCATTTTAATAAAAAATAGTGAAGCATTCAGTTAATAAGCTCGTGTACGTAAGCTTTGTTTAATATAGTATATAGACGTTCAAGTGGCACCAATAATACTAGATGTATTGTCGATAAATTATAGTATACACGTCACAGCATTAAAGTTGCAGTGAGTAAAAATTTTTATATATGCTTAATGGTCACTTTCTTCGCAATAAGGACACGATTTCTCAAAATGGCGAGTGAACACGACATATTATAATGTAATGTCATATTTCCACAAACCTAAATATTGGTTGCGCTGTCGCTAATTATAATATTCAACAATATTGTATTTCTTTGGCACATTACAAAACTGAGATATTAAATTTCGCACACGCTTACAATTCCAATAAATACAATCTTCGCTTGCAGTTTTAAGTCGCCGATGCGAAATGTAGCAACTACATCTAACACTAATTATCAAATAACCTCATGCCACATAAAAGTAAACATGCGAAACAACAAGTTATAATTTGAAAAGGATATCAAAAATGAGATGAGGTCCCTAGGACCGGTTCTATGCTCGAGTGTGAGGTGACCGGCAAAGTCGTCGGTTACAAAGTTAGGTTCGCCGCCCGGCATGGAAGCGCACACGGGGCACACCACCTGAAACAGATTAAACTGTGGGATATTCTTCTCGAATGTTCGGGGGCCACTTCTTATGTCTAGCACATTACACAACACAAATTGTCACGCAATGGTGTTAGTTCAAGCTAATATAAAAATTTAACTCATGGAGACCAGGATTTCCATGTTAATCAGGTAAAAACAAATTTTTACTTACATAACATTATACAATTATTATTTTCTCAAGACACTTCTAGTCTGTTCTCTATCAAAACACAGTATAATCTATTGGAGAAATTGATTATAAAAATTTATATCAAACATTTAATATGATGGAGAATGAAATGTGTTAAAGAAACAGTATCATCTATTGGTTTAAATAATTCTTATTAAACATATATAACAGTTTGTTCTAATTAATATTAGCAAATAACCCCTGAACCTCAGTTTTTAAAGTCATATCAAAAAGTCAATGCCTATTTACAAATTACAGTCAGTCTAATGCAAACATTAATAGAGTATTTCAATATGATCTTACAATATTTTAAATAAAATTATTGGAAACAAATTATTATATAAGATACCATTAATTGAGTATTAAATGTCACTGCTGCATCTACAGTTTAGAATATACATTAATTTCAACAATCAACCAAAGACATTTGAGTACTTTAATATCTTAATTAATTACTCACCATAAAGAGTTCACAAACATCCAATTACACAATTAATTAACATTGAGTTTTAGCTACAGAAATATAATCATGAGTACAGACAGTATTTCTTGTTGATGCTGCCACCTACAAAGTTTGTACACAATGTAATCATGGTAAATTATATACTTACAGCCAGTGTTGTGTCTGCATGCTCTGCAGTAACATGTTCTATAAGTGCCGTGTCCGTGAAACCCATACGATTGCAGAATGGACATGTGTATGCTTGAGGTTGCTCCAGGGCGAGTGCTTCACCTCCATAATATAAATCTAAAAAAATATTACCTCTTAACCCCATCAGAAGGCTACACACCTTTTAATTTACAATGCAGGTGAAGGATTTTTTAACTAGCAGCATTCTCACATGGCTCCACTGAAAACATAATCTAGAAAGTAAAAAAATAATAGAAATAAAAGCCACAAATAACATTCAATTATGTGCCCTTTTTTTCTTGAAGTATTGTTAGCTTTACACTATTATTTGGTCTATAGACAATTATTATATTGTAGACAAATATTATGTACAATCAGTACCTTATAAACCTTTAGATTGAATATGTAATGTTTTGTAGATTTTATGATTCTAGCATGACTGCAGTTTAATAAAATAATGGTGCTTTCATAATATCAGCGAGAACTTATTATCAAATTAGTGCACCCTTCTTAAAAATATAATAAAAAGCATAGTTAAATAATAATAATAAACTTGATTATTATGAAATACCATATTGTGATACTAGTAGCAGGGTACTAATACACAATAAACTAATCTACATGTAATATAAATGTGAACAAGAAGTGTATTCACATAGTATAGACACATTTTCAGATTGCTCGTAACTTTCATCTTTATCTGTACTTGCATTAAAAGTCTCCGGACACAGGAAGAATTAGTCCACTGGTGCTATAAATATAAACTCTTCTCTTTATAAAGTTTACATAATTTAAATTAGGGCAACACAAAACCACTATAAAGTGAAACTAAAATGCTGAATATATATAAATAAGATTTCAAAATCTGAGACACGGTTGAATAGGAGTAAGCTGTAGCACATCGAATTCAGAGTATGAGGGGCTCACCAAAGTCACTTCTGGAAAGAATGCATTGCATGGGGTGCTCCGTCGTGTGTTGATTAGTGGTGGCGCCAGACTCGTAGCATGCAGCGCACAAGTCATAGTCGATGCAAATCAAACATTTGTACCGTCGACCTCTGAAATTGTTTTTCAAACAGGAGTCACAGCTGACTCCTGTTTGAAAAATATGGTTTGTAATCTCTGATCAAAGGTCCGAAATACAGACAGATAGATGAAGGCACTCCACTGTACAATAACGTATCGTGATCAATGAATATTTTCACACAAAAGTACATTGTGACAAAAGCATCGAACAAATTTTGATTATCATTCATTCATCACCCACCTTCATGACGATTCATTTTCGCCACAAAATGTAGTCAAAACAAACACTTGTTGGCACCAGTATCACCGCTACTTTATGAGATAATTATATTACTAATCTAAAATAAGTAGCACAACATATATTATACTAAAATACAAGATTTCTAACAAAAATTTCCAAGCAAACCTAACCCAACCAGGCCATAATGACGTCACATAATTGAATTTCAGTGTTGCCTATCACAAAATTTTTATTAGCAACACTATATTTTATGAATGCATTCATTTAACACGGACGGCTAACTAACTAAAAAAGAAGATAATATTTTACTTTATTTACCTGTAAGTAAACATATATATCAAAGACTCCAATCTAGTAAATAGACGTCGTTGATATTATATTCCTATCACCACGCCTATATCCCACTGGAGTAGGCAAATCAAACTTAGCAAAATATCTCGTATTTTGATTACCAAAGAATTTCTAGATTATGCTTAATAAATGTTAATAATAATCTAAAATAAATAACGACACTCCAAATACAGTGCCCCTATGATCTTTGCGATTTAAAGTTCTGAATAGCAGTGCAACACTGTTATGGATAGGCGTGTCGCTTACCACTAGGCGCTCGACTTATTCAACCCGTCACTTGGAATTATAAATGACGTTTCAAACCGGTATTTGTAAACAGTAATAAAAAAAACAATATTTTAGCAACATCACATGACAGCAAGAGCGAACATCAGAAAGTTGCAGTCACCACATTCTATTGGCCTAGTAAATAGTCCGCGTAGCGAGCCGTGGTCGCCGCTCGCCACCTTGTCGATCTTCGAAGTTCTGGTTCGGCCTCCGCAAGGGGTTCAGTTGAGGGTTGACTTCATTATCATTATCGGATTCAGGAGATTCAGTAGCATTTTCAGCTTCAGATTCTGGGTCCGTAACTTCATTGTAGCTTTGGTTTGAATAGTGTGAATTTTACGAAAACTTTGGAAGAGACATGGCATAGTTTTATGAATCCAATAGCGAGATGACTGAATATAATAATTTAAAGTATGAAGTTTAATAAGATGACGATTTGAAAATAGCATAGCCCTTAAAATGAGAAATCTGTCGTTTATTCCCACTAGTTCCATATAGGTACTCAGTTCCACGAGGAGCAATTGTATCAAGATTGTATCTGTTACCCAAAAATTGTCCTCTACCGGACGGTAGAAGACACTTTTCGAGTGACACATCACACAAATGAGATCCATCCTAGCAATATTGAAAGTGAGAATGAATCATTGAATGATTTAAAATAATTACTCTGAAAAATTGTTATTTTGAATAAAATAAGTCTTTGGAGACATTATGACCAGACAAGTGCATCAATTTCTACCTATTCGCTTCGCTTAACACTGCCCAGAATAATGTTTTGGATACATTGACTTACATATAATTGTAAGTCAATGTTTGGATATGAGTTTTTTTACAAAGTTTCCAAAAGCCGTTCGATGCAGAGTGATCCCGCTATAATTTGGACACGTTTGGATACGTCAACAACATAATATGGTTGAACATCTGTATGAAAGTACAACCAGAACATTTTCGTGAGGTTTTTGCAGAAAGGGTTGGAAGTTGAATTAACAGTCATTGGTTTAACAAGGGCTGTGGAAAACAAGTAACACTCGATTTAGGGGTATACTTTATTTAAATTTAAAAGCAAGGACAATTTTTCGTAAGTTAAGAAATTTAGGATACGGACTTAGGAAAAAGAAAATCGGATCGGGAGAGGAATTTGATTACAGGAAATGTGAACATATAATAGATAGGAAAAGAAAAATAATTGCATATTAATAATATATTAATGAAGTGAGGAATAATCATATTTATGGCAGTTTGAAAATATGTAGTCCAAATCTCCAATTTGGCCACATTCGCATATAATACCAATGTTCAATTTCGCAAGGTTTTTTGTTTTTCTTGTTTCTGGCACTTCGCGGTTTGCGTTTGTGCCACTGCAAAACGGGGAAACTTATTCATGGAAAACAATGGAAAGGGAAAATAATTTGGAAGAAAGGATCAGGGAAGTGCGATTAAGGTTAAATAGGAATACATATAAAATATAAACATAACAATTTTGTGACAAACGTAATATAGCTGAAATACATATTTATAATTTCATACAATTGAAAGTTATAAACGAAGCGAAGCATTTATAGATAATAGGACTATTACATGCCAAAATAAGTTTACAGTAGTAGGAAGAGGGAATCCAATGGAGATGAGGGCATGGACAAAAAGGAATGATCGTATAAAGGACAGTTGAGTACAATATACACACTCGCAAAGGTCACTGTCTATAATTTTAAATTTGGCTAAGTGGGCTGCAGAACACACATGCCCCAGTCTCATGCGAATCAGTACACTTGTGGCCAACTTTCCAAATTTCATTTTGGAAAACCAAGGCTTAGTAGGAATAGAGGGTTGTATACTCGCATAAAACGATCCCTTCGTACGGCTGCTAACACTCCAAAATTTTTGCCAGGAATTCCTGACAGAAATCGCGGGCAGTGCATCTAAATCATGACAGTAATTAGTAAAAAATGCTAGATCACCGCAATCAATCGCCTCACCCGCCAGTTGGTCTGCGAGTTCATTGCCTGGGATGCCGCAATGACTCGGCACCCAAACAAACACTACAGAATAACCTTTTATTGTACACTGATAAAGTAAATTTCTAATTTCTAATATAATGGGGCAAATCAGTTTAGAACTAAACGGAAACTTGGACAATGATTGCAGTGCGCTCATAGAGTCAGAAAATATCTCTTGTTTAACATAGCTATTAGAATAAACTCTACACTTTTAAACAAACCAAAACATTCTCCGGTGTATACAGAAGTTTCAGGTGGTAACTAAATCTTTTGGACTATTTTAGATTGCTGATGATAAACTCCCACTCCAACATTTCCAGCAAGAGAGCGTTTTGATGCGTCACTAAATAAATAATGCCAACCATCAAAATCACTATCAGTAATAAAGCATAAAGATTGAGAAGCATCAAAATGACATTTATTAATTCCTAAATTTAAACGAATATCTGGTGTTAAAGTTAGAACCTCGTAAGTACAAAAAAAGAGGATACTGATAATATTGATAAGTGGGGGCTTCAAGAGCAAGGTATTTATGAAAACAAATGACAAGGCTTGGTAGAGATTTTCGAGTCCAGTATGGAGAAGATGTTATTTTTCGAGAGAGACATTGTATAGAAGAGGATGATTTGAAAGTTGCAAGCATCGAAAGAAATACCTGTCAGACAAAAACTGACGTCGTAATCGAAGTGGAGGATCTACACACTCGACCTGCAATGCATTCATGGGGCTAGACTTCATAGCACCTGACAGAATTCTCAAAGCCTTTGATTGAATATTGTCTAACTTTTTAAATGCCTTAGTACTATTTGGCTCCAAAAGAAAAGTGGCATAGTCCAATACACTCCTTATTATGGCATTATAAACAAGTTTAAGAGAGAAAAGATGCGCACCCCACCAGACACCGGCAAGACATTTTAGATTATTTAGGTTACGTTCACATTTAGCCGTAATATATTCACAGTGAGGAATACCAGTGAGTTTAGAGTCCAGTACAATACCTGGAAATTTATTTTGAAGTCTAACTGGAATAGGAATGGGATCATATAAAATTTCAAGATCCGGTGCGTAGCGCATCCTAGAGAACAAGACTATTACACTTTTTGAAGCAGATAAACAAATTCCATTAGCATCCAACCAAAGTCTTAAAAAATTAAGAGATGAGGACACAATATTACAAGCTCTAGGAATGTTAGTATCAGATGCGTACAACAGCAAATCGTCAGCGTATTGTAAAATTCCAACTTTGTCCTAGAGAGCAACCTTCAGGTCGTAGGTATAAATATTGTAAAGAATTGGACTAAGTACAGATCCCTGAGGAAGTCCCCTCCATGCTAGCCTGGACATAACAGAACCGTCGTCAAGATATAAATTGATGCGCCTTTCCGACAACATATTGATTACAAAGTTTGAAAGTAATACAGGTACATTCAGATCGTATAATTTCTTTTGTAATACAGATATAATAACGCTATCGTACGCTGCACTAATGTCTAGAAATGCCGAGAGTACTGACTTGTTATTAGTAAAGGCGAGGCGAATATCAGTAACCAAAATGCTAATACCGTCAATAGTACTTTTACCTTTTCTAAACCCAAATTGGATGTTTGAAAGTAATTTTTTACTTTCTAAGAACCATTCCAATATATTTTTAACTAAATGTTCTGCAATTTTAGCAAGTACAAAGGAAAGGGCAATCGGTCTAAAAGAGGAGATTATAGATGGTGGTTTATTACGTTAGGAATAGCTATGATAGACTGTGATTTCCAAGATGATGGAATTATCCTAGAAAGCATGACGCCATTAACTACATCTAGATAATATAAAAGAGTGTTGTCGCTACTATGAACAAAAAAGGAATATGGAATGCCGTCCTCACCAAGGGCAGAATCTTTGACTTTTGTTCTGACAAAGTAAATGGGGCATTAAGACCTGTTCTACCAATTGATTTGAAAATTGATTGAGGAAATGAGAATTGTGCTATAATTGATTCAGGAACCGAAGGAGGAGCAAGTTTATCGAGAACTATGCTTGCTAAATTTGGAGGTAACGAAGACTGAGATGAGGTGTTCGTACCAGTCCTAAACCTTCTTATATTTTGCCATACAATGGTTGGGTGGACGTCAGGACAAATAGATACACAAAAACGCCTCCAGCCATTAAACTTCTTCTTCTTAAGCAGCTTACGGGTCTCACGTGCGATTTGGCTGTAAACTTCATAATTTTCCGCGGTCATTGCGTTACGGTAGACTCGCTCAGCTGCTTTTCTTTTTTTAATTGCATCCAAACATTCTCTGTCCCACCAAGGTGGAAAAGGGATTCTCGACAATTGGGGCATTTTTAAAGCAAAAAGTTCATCGGCAACTTCTATTAGGACATTACTAAGAGCCTCTGAACATTCTGAGACACTATCAGTGAGTATATTCGGTAAAGATGCTATTTTCTTGTCTACTCTATCTTTAAAAATACTCCAATAATCTGGCAATTTGTGTTTTAAACGGGGACTACGTTTTATGCAACTATGAGAGGAATACGGAAAAGTAATAATTATAGGAAAATGATCACTACCGCATGGAGAAGAGAAGACTGACCACAATAGGGTGGATGTTAAGCCAGGAGTACAAATTGAAAGGTCTGGGACACTGAAACCCTCAGATGGCTCAGTCATTCTTGTGGGAGTGCCGGTATTTAAGACACAAAGATTTTGATTGTCTAGTATATACAATAATACGTCCGCATAGTATGTAGAAAAAGAACTGCCCCAAGAACGATATTGGCAGTTGAAATCACCTAGAATAAGAAATGGTTTAGGAAGAATAGGAATGAAGTTGTTAATTTCAGAGGAGAGGAAGTTGGATGTAGTATATACAAAGATACAATACATATATTATTAATAATAGCAGCGACGGCATCAATGCCATCGCTGAAAGAACGTAAGGGAAAAGACTGAAAGGAAAGAGAATTTTTAACAAGTATGGCAACTCCACCATACCCATTGATCTGTCTTTTCGAAGAACTGAAAATCCAGAAACTCTAAAGGAATATTGTGGCTTTAACCATGTTTCAGACAGACAAAGAATGCAAGGATCAGTATTGTTGAGTAAATAAATTAAATCAGTTTTTTTATTCGAGATACTTCTACAATTCCATTGTATTAATCGGTGGTCCATTGTGAACCAAGTTAGTAGTAATATATTTCGAGATGGTAGGGGCAACGTTGGGCGGTATATTAGGTGTTATAAGATTTGAGTTACTTAAATAGTTAATAAGAGCTGTAATAATTTCAATAGTTGACAATTCAGATTTAGATTGGTCATTATCGTTGTCAGATGTTTTATATGCAGAACCATTAGAAAGAGAAGACTTGTTACAGTAAATATTGGAATGAAAGCTTTTAATTTATGAGTCTTCTAAATAAGCATTATCAATAAAATTGTTAGCATCATCGAAACGAGTAAATGCTAGAGCAAGTCTGTTTCGTCCAATACGTTTTAAACTTCCATTCACTATATTTTTAACTGATTTTTTTTAAGAATGTTCCCAAATTGCACTGGATGTAAAGAAGCACGTTCTTCGGGAGCATCACATAAGGACTAATGTCAGTGCGCTCATATTTTCTTATATTCAGATACCGAGGCTGAGTGGGAGGAATTTGAGTAGAAGGTTTGTTAGAAACAGTGACGTTTGTTAACTTATCCTGAGATAAAGATGAAACAAATTCCGTATACTTATTCGCTTTATATTCTGTAATGTCATCATGAGAGCTTTCGACAAAGTTACCCTTACTATAGAATGTCAACGGGATGTTTTAATGCGTTTCCTATGTTTGCGTCCATCTTGACTACGGGCACCATCTTTCGTATCTACTGCACTAGCTTCAAGCGAGGATATTTCTATATTTAGGCCCACTGAAGGCACTGTTCCTCCAGGGTCATCGGGGGGCTCGTCGCCCATGTTAAAAAAATTAAAACTTACCTGAAGCGGAAAATATATACACTACACAGGCACTAAATTAAAGATTATATACAATAAATACAAACAGAACTCTCCTGATCCCGCAAAAATAATAAAAACCACTAAAACCAGGAAAAATGCACCCGCCAGTTTCGGAAGTTTCCCGCGTTTTTCTTTCACAAGGTTATACAAGTAGAAATACACTTGACCCATAAAAATTGAATATCGACTATTACGGTGTTGCCATAAGTTTTCCTCTGTCTGGTTAGCTGCCACTGTCACTTTTGACTTGACTGCCCAGACGTCTTGTCCGGTCCTGTTCCTGTCACTCACTCGTCATTATTCTATGAAATTTGGATTTGGGTTGTAATGTATACTTGGATTACTTCCTGAAAAACTGGGATTCTTGTTTCTTTATAAAGTCAAAAACAATATTTATCCAGTGCGTATTAAGTGTTAATATCGAGAGTGACAGGTACCAAAGTCGGCGAAATTTGTCGAAAAAACTCTTCAGCACAAAGCGCATTTTGCGCGGGAATTCTGTTACGGACAATAAGCTGTTATTTTACTGAAATTCATATCTGTAGCGTTATTCGGAAAATGACGGATGCTTTGTGCCATATAGTAGTGGACGGCAATGAGGTGCTGGAGCTAAAATTAGGTACGAGGTTCTCGCTAACAAATATTAATGATTCTATTGTCCTGTCAATCTCGGTTTCTCCCTAACACGCTTCCCTTCATTTCAGTGAGATCTCCAAAAGATATTGAAAGCGATGAAACCAGTTTTAGCTCTGAGATGTGTCACCAAGTGTTTGGGGACAATGAGAATATATTTGGTTACACAGACTTACACATCAAACTTTACTACACTGCTGGCAGCCTTCAAACATATCTCGGCATTGAATACACAGACAAGGTATGGTACCCTACCTTTTTTTATCCAGTGACTAGTTAATAACAGTCCTCCAATGAGAACATTACAGTAATTTCTAGATAAGTGATGATGATGAGGACATTGATATAGTACATGGTATCCTGGAGAATACAAAATAAAAAACAATGAGTTTTCAGATTGAGCCCAGTACATATGAGGGTATGAAAGCTGATGATGTGGAGGGAGCTCTGAAAAAAGTTTTGGCACCAGGTTATGTGACTAATTTGGACAACTTTGTGTCTTTGTTGGCTAAAGATGAATCGTTTTTACCATACGGTCAACTCATTCACAAATTCTCATTGTTGCCACGTAAGTTATAAAGTTTATGTTAAGTCTAACTCTACATTCACTCACATTGTGTTAGCATTAACTTGTTGAAAGAAAGTAAAATTATAATAAAATAATAAACATAGATAATTCTCATTAGCTGAAGAGAGTTCATCCGTTGTATACAAATTATGCCCTAAAAATTAAGTAAAGTGTGCATGCTGTATTGTTAATTTCCGAATGAAATATGTATAATAGCTGATAACCTCATCACAGGCCACGGTGGTGACAAGCGCCAGTTTGAAGTATATTACAGTGAAACCTCTACTCCCAACTTCTTAAGTTTCCACCAACGCCTGCAGACATTCCTCTTGTGGTATGTTGATGCAGCATCTTTCATAGATGTTGATGATGACCAGTGGACATTTTTCACAGTGTAAGTTGTGTTAATATAGTATATAATGTTAGTTTTTCTTAAATCATGTAGACTTTACACATTTTTATAACAGTTTTGTGAACCTAATTGAGGTTTTTCTTCACCATTAGAAGCACATAATATTTATATTAAATAGGTCTGTGCAAATGCACCTCATAAAATTTTACCTTGCTTGTTATTCAGATATGAGAAGTACGGAGTGAGCGAGGGTGGATGGCGCTATGCGACTGTTGCGTATGCGACTGTATACCGCTACTATGCGTACCCCCGACACACGCGCCCGCGTATCGCGCAGGTTCTCACACTTCCGCCATTCCGCAAACTTGGCATCTGTGCACAACTTTTACAGGTAACATATACCAATATTTATAATGTAAATATGAAGTATTCTGCACATTGCTTTCTTTTATTAGTTTCCTTTTAAATGACATAAAATAAAACAATATAGATATCCTCTAATTACATAAGAGGGATATTCAACTGTGAACTGGCAACCAGTACTATCTCAATTTTGACAACTTTACATTGTCTTTACAGGTGAAGAAAAAAATTGTTTTTTACGTCATTTACATAGCATCTGATTTATTAAATAAAAATAAGTAGTTTTTAAATATTTTTATTACACATACACTTGCCAGTTCACAGTTGATTCCTAAAAAAATATTTATATAAAAAAATTAATAAACAAAATAGTTTTTAAATCCTACTTGTAGGGGCTGCTCACTTGATTCAAACTTCAAACAACACACTATGTGTGCTCAACTTCAGCCTTTAAAATGTAGCTCACTCTTTATGCCTACATTTGTCATATTACATAGTTATAATTTGCAGGCTATATATTCACACTACATTCCATTGCCTGAGGTGCTTGATATTACAGTGGAAGATCCTTCTGGAGAATTTCAAAGAATCAGGGATTATGTGGATGCCAAGAATTGCGAAACTCTGCCAGCTTTTCAACCTGCCAAACTTTTACAGGGGTATGTAAGACAGTGCGCTATTACAATTAAATAGGACTTTGGCCAGTCCTGGAGCAATTGCAGGGGGAAGTAACTAAAGCCATTATGATTGGTTAGTTTTGGGTTTTATCTGTATTCATGCAGATAGAGATACTTTGCAAGTAATAGAGCTGGAGAATGACTTCGTCCAGTGAAGTACTTCCATACCTATGGCAGAGAACAAAAAATTATGATAATTATTATCTATTAATTAATTACTATATTAAGTTTTGTTTAAGCTACTTATTTGACTTTATTTAAATTAACTGGTGTAATTTACTGTTGTTTTAGTATTTAATAAATAAAATCATTTATATCATATATGTACATCAGATATACAGGGTGTCCCAAAACTCAACGTCAAGCGGTCATTGGGCGAGAGGCCAGGTTATATTAGTTCTGGTAAAAATTAAAAAATAAATCCATGTCACTTAGTTAAGTGATAATAGGCATTTTTTTGAAAATGTTGAAAATCGATACCCTAGACCACATGTTTAGGTACTGTCATCACAAATTTTCAAATTTTGGAGTGATTTTTTTTTAACGTTATCATAAATAACCATGCTATTTATTGCAGTCACAAATCAAACAATAAACGTTATGAGTTTAATAATAAAAAAATAAGTTTCATTGAGTCGTAGCTTAAAAAATATGTCAGGTAGCTTTGACATTTTATATTTTTAAAAAAATGTACTACACTACCCTGGGCAAGTTGTTTTAAAAGATGGCCCATATAATCAAGATTTCAAAATGGTACAATACTTGCCACTCTTCATTCCATAAAAAATATTATAACTTATTTTTTGCAAAAGGAGCTCGTTTCAAAAAAAACTCATGCCATGATAAATAATACTTTTGTGTGCTCAAAGATTGGCTTTAACATCGCGGAAGTGAGATGGTCATATGTGATAGAGTGAGATGGATAGTGACGCTGTGCGACATGAATTAGAGTGAGCGAGACGGACAGTGACGCCGATGCTCTATTATTGATCATTGGTTATTATCATTTAGTACGCTACGTTCCTTCGTTTACTGTGCATCTTCTCGTAATCGTGTAACTTTTGTACTGACGACTTTGGCTTGTGTTACCCTGGACTTGATATTGCATCTGTGTTGACGACTCTGGCTTATTCCCTGGACTCGATTTGTGTTGTGTATACTGTATTAGTTAGTACTTAGCAGAACTAACACGTTTCGCGACATGCCGTATCTGTACACAGCGGAAGAATACGCGAACATGCATCTTATTTACGGTGAATGCCATTGTAATGCCTCTGCCGCAGCCAGATTGTATCGCGAGGGGTACCCAAACTTAGAGCGTCACCCAGATCACCGCGTGTTCGTCAATGTACACTGGCATACTCGGAAGGACGATTGCCTAGTGCTCGTACGAGCGGTGGAAGACCGCAAGGAGACGACGACGACGTAATTTTAGAAGAAATTCGAAATGATCCCAGCACTTCAGTACGTGCGATTGAAAGAGCCACTGGAATACCGAAAAGTATTGCTCATCGAATTTTAAAGCAACATGAATATCACCCGTATCATGTGCAACGTGTACAAAGTTTATTACCTCGTGACTACTCTCTCAGAATGGATTTTTGTAGAACAATGTTGGCGAAAAATCGTGAAGATCCGCAATTTATAAACAAAATTTTGTGGACTGACGAAACAACATTTAAAAAAGATGGTTATTTAAACTTGCACAATGTACATGTCTGGCACACGGAAAACCCGCATTTAATGCGTGAAGACCGGTCCCAATACCAATTCAAAGTCAACATGTGGACTGGAATTTGAAATGGACAAATAATTGGACCGTTTGAGTTGCCTGAAACATTAAATGGCGACAACTACTTAGATTTTCTTCAAAATGATTTGCAAACGTTACTAAAAGATGTACCACTCAACATCTATAGAGAAATGTGGTTTCAACAAGACGGTTGCCCAGCGCATTATGCTCGTTCTGTACGTGATTATGTAAACACGGAATATTCCGGAAGGTGGATTGGGCGCCTTGGTTCAATTTTGTGGCCTCCTCGATCTCCGGACCTAAACCCCCTTGATTTTTTTTACTGGGGCTGCATAAAGGAAAAAGTATATGCAAAATCTATAGAAAATCTAGCCCAATTACGCCACAAAATTGTTGAAGCAGCAGAAGAAATTAGTTTGAGAAGATTCGCATCATTGATAAAAAGATCTTTTGTGAGGCGATGCAAAGCCTGTATTCGTGCCGAAGGCAAACAATTTGAGCATTTACTTTGACATTAAAGTATTACAATAGTTCCTTTCTTTTCATTTTGATTAAAATTTATTATAATACAACAATGGACTAATTATTAAGTTGACACACTCACATGTGCAGTGTTGGGCGTTAATCAATTAAATTTCAATCAATAATTCAATCAGATTAAAAAATCAATTCAATTGAAATCAATTGCAATTAAATCAATTGCGAGATTTAATTGCAATTGGTTTTAATTGCAATTGATTTCAATTGAATTGATTTTAATTGCAATTAAAATCAATTCCGGCCGGTTGGGGTCCCCGCTTGGGGGGGCCCGGTTGGGGCCCCGGTTGGAGGCCCGGTTGGGGGCCCGGTTGGAGGCCCCGGTTGGGGGCCTGGTTGGGGCCCCCGGTCAGGGCCCAGGTTGGGGCCCCCGGTCAGGGCCCAGGTTGGGGCCAAGCGGGGACCCCAAGCGGAGACCCCAACCGGGGCCCCCAAGCGGGGACGCCAACCGAGGCCCTCAAGCGGGGACCCCAACCGGGCCCCCTAACCTGCCCCCAACCGGGCCCCCTGACCTGCCCCCAACCGGCCCCCTAACCTGCCCCCAGCAGGCCCCCACAACCAACGCCCTAACTCACCCCCATATGCCTTATAAATTTATCATAATTGTCAGTTTTAATTGTTAATTGTTAATCAAAAACATTGAAAAGATTGAAAATTGATTAATTGTTAATTGTAGATATTTGCGATTGCTAGTGAAACTGTAGCTACATACAGGGCGTGTAAATTTTATGTTCCAGGGTGATTGGTGCAGTGCTCCTCAGACCTTTGCGACTTAAGGATCCGAATGGCACTGCAATTGTTGTGGCTAGGCGTGCCGCTTGCCACCAGTCACGCGACTTTTTTGTCCCGTTACTTGATATTATAAAAAAGATTAACAGTAATATGAAATCTACGCAATAAGGGGATTACGTCACAAAACACTTATAATTATGATATTGAATCTGTTTGAGTATTAGGTTGTAATTACGAGTTAATCAGATGGCCATGCCACTGCTTAGGTCGCTAATCGGTGAATTATGCATCTATTTAAGTATATAATTATAGAGGAATATGAAATAACAAATGCGTGTCATTTTCTAACTTAGGTACAGCAGTGAAATGGCAAACCAAGCATGCAACAAGTTCAAGATCAACAAAAAACAGGCCCGGCGTATTTATGAGATCCTCCGCCTGAAGAATACTAACACATCAGATAAGACTGCCTATCTCAACTACAGACTGGATGTTAAAAATAGACTTAATGCACCTTTTCAGGTTGGTTCAATATTAAATTAATTTTTATTTAAATTATGGCTTCAAATAAGTGTCAACTCTCCAGAAACAATTAATTCTTCACTAGGAAAGACATCACTGTCACTTGAAGCTTCTAGTTCTTGATGATGTATGCAGATAAGTAAGTATACAATGTGAACTAAAGCGATTTATCTACCTGGATGCGAAACATTAGTTTTAGCGGCCTTACCTGTATAGCCACGAACTTTTGTTATGTTTGAAGTATTGCAGTCTGAAATACACCTTTTACGTCTGTAATTACAACACGTCTTGGTGGTACTAAGATAACATCACTTTCCACGAGGCGGTATCATAAATGTAAAATCATTGAATACTTTATCAACTAAATTTTCGTTTTTATTTAGCCCTATTGTGGAAGTGATATTTGAGTTCGAATGTTACGTGCGAAAGATTAGTGCGTGCTACATAGGTAAATCACAAAGAAATCTCAGCAAACAAGGCCTCTTATGTATGTACTCGAGTATGTGTAAATAAACTGTCCCTCACCGCCCCTGCCAAAATTGGATGTTCTTTTTGACATTGCTGCTTTTGAATGTAAACTCACAAGTTACAAATTGAATTTGCAGAAAAAGAAACTTGAAATGCAGAAATTACAAAAATTTCTAAAACCAGAAGAGTACGCGGCGACCATAAACGCTACAGGACTCAGCAACACCCACAGCCGTTTGGCCAGCGAGTACATCCCCCTCGAGCAGGATTACCGCCGAGTCATCCACCGGATGGAGTATTGATTATTGGATTAGCTTAATCTCGCTGCGCGTTTCTTAACGGTCAAATGTTGATTTTTTTTTATTGCTTCAAAGGTGAACGCGCAACAGTCCGTTGTATGCGTTATGATGTCTCACCAGAATTTATGCATACGAGACCGACAAGAGTTACTTGCAAGGGTACCTAATGCGTGTTCACCTTAATTTTTTATATTTACACATCTTATTTTGGGAAGCAAAATATACTCGCGCTGAAGTTAATGTTCCTTCGCCAATGCGTGTTAATTACTAACTAATAACTTAGAATAAATAAATCATATTTACATTAAATGGTTTGTATGAAATCTGCTGAGAGTACTATTGCCAGTGATCTTATGTACATTTCTTATTATAGTATGAAACTCTACTTGAAATTGATCATTTCATTTGAAGTTGTGTAATGATAATTGATCATACCTGAGAAAAATCTGTAATTAATTCACCTTTTATATTCTCTCCTTTGCTGATCATTGTTAAAAGTTACGGGTTAATATTATGAATATCGACGACGACGACGTCATTCTAAATTACTTGTATGTTGCTTCTTGCTCTGACATCTTGTATGTGGCGTAAGATTCTGATTCATTGAGTAACTGTTGGATTTTCTCATCCTAACCGTACGGAATCGCACTGCGCTTATTGTGCAACAAATACTTCGTGTGTTCATATATTTTGATACGAAATAAAAGTTAAAGTTATATTTTTACAATTTTCGGATAATCATAAGTACACACTACCAACAACTACAAGCAGTTGCTACTCAAAATGACCGGCTTTATTCTTAATACAAGCTCTTAGACGTTCTAGCCAATCGTGAGTCTAGCCACGAATCCTCTCCAGTGGGATTCGTTTCGCTCTTTTGATGAAAGCCCGTTTTAGAGAACCAAGTTTTGGTGGGACTTTTGGCTGACCCTGAGCTCCAATTCAGTCTACAGAGAATAAATAGTCAAGTGCCGCGATGAAGCCCGGTAAATTTGCCCTTAACCAAGCTCGTGTCGTTTTAACCTTATAAGCCGGTGCTGGTTCTTGCTGGAAAATCCATTCTTTGCTGTGAAATCAAGTATTAAACAGGGGTTTTACAAGTCTCTCAAAATGTCACTTTGATCATTTTTTCCTCTCACTTTAACGCATTCTTGGCAATAATAAGAGCGCAGTGACACCTTCACACAAAATCCCCCGCCAAACCATCACTCACTTATATACACACTATGATTTTTAGTAACATAACCTGCAACGGTTACAGCTCGCTAGTGAGTACCTATTCGCGTCGTAATTTATGAATGCGATAATTTAGGAAGTGAACATTGCGACTTTACCTTGAGATCTTATTTCAGTATTCTGCCGACTGAAACACTCGAAATGTTGCTCGGTACAACGAGATTCTTCTAGGGCGACTTCGCCCTCTGATTATTTTGACGTTCGCAGTCGTCCTTGCAGACCGCTGGCGGCCACTCTTGGGCTATCTTTCAGGGAATCGGTCTCGTAACGTTTTATGGTGTAATATAAGTTGCGTTTTACCCCAAAACATTTTATATCACGGTAAAATCTCCATTGATTTTTTCTCGTCATATTATTAGCGAAATTATAATCGCACAAAGTATTTTGTTCCCTCCAACCACTGACCAACCAACAAATGGACGTCGGGTCTAATACAAAAACCACGAAAAAATGTCCGAAGTTAACCTATACAAGCGTAGTGACATGTAACGAAATATAAAAAACTAAAACTACAAATATCCGTAATTCCGAAAACCGATTTATAATAAAACCGTTAAGGTGGATTCATATTGCACAAATTCTGGCAATATATTGCCGCAATTTATCGTTGCGCCACATGACTTTGAGTTGACCAATCAGGTGCTGCGACCTTAGCTCCTAATTGGTCAACTCAAGGTCAGAACGTGGAACACGATAAATTGCGGCAAGATATTGCCAGAATCGTTCATTGTGAATCCACCTTTACGCTTTCGTGTAATTTTAATGCTTTTCACAAAGACAAAATTAGTTTTTATTTTGTAATCTTTCTAAAAAAAAAAATACATTTGACATTATGAAAAGTCGAGGTAAC